CGGTGCATGCTGCAAGAGGTTGAGGCAGGAGGATTGCTAGTTTGAGGGCAGCCTCAGCAACTTAGTGAGGCCTGTCAACTTAGTGAAGTAACTCAGTGAGTCTGTCTCAAAATAAAAAAATAAAAAGGGCTGGGAATGTAGCTCAGTGGTAGAGTGCTCCTGGGTTCAATCCCCACTACCAAAAACCCCTAAATTAAATTTAAAAAATAAATTTTATATGGTATATGAATTATATTTCAACAAAACTGTTATAACAATAAAAATGGAATGTGGTAATGACACATATTACAATATGGATGAACCTTGAGAACATTATGATAAGTGAAAAAAACCTGACACAAAAAGTCACATACTGTATGATTCCATTTATATGAAATATCCAGATTTCATAGAAAGTAAGATAATGGTAACTAATGACTGATGGGTTTGGAAGGAAGTGGAATGAGAATAATTGCTAATGGATATGGTAATTTATTTTTTGGGTGTTGAGAATCTTTTAGAATTATATTGTGATGGTGATAATTGTATAACCTTGTGAATAAACTAAAACCCACTGAATTATACTCTTTTAAAGGGTGAATTTTATTATATATGAATTATATTGAATTTTTTAAAGCCTTACAGAATAAACAGAAGAACAGAATTCTAGTTCTGGGTGAACTTTGTCACCTGAAATTATTTTACATTTATAGTCAACATACTTTACCCATTGTTTGTTTCTGCCCAGGACTTGGTCTAACAGAGGGAAGGAATGACTATGACCTGCATATTCTTTTCCAACTGAAACAAACTTCACTTTCTTTTTGGCCCCTTTTCTCCTGTCTTCCCCCTTTTGTAATTTAGGTCCTGTTAAAAATAATATCTACTCACAATGAACTTTTCTAGCCTTTGAACATTTTCTGCTCATACCCAAACCAGTTTTTTTTTCTTCAGAGGGACAAGAGTATTTTTTCAAAATATACCTTTTAATTACATATGCAGTAAATAGAAATAAAATGTTTTAAAAGTCATTGTTTGTTGGAACACGCCTATAATCCCAGCAATTCAGGGGGCTGAAGCAGGAGGACCAAAAGTTCAAAGCCAACCTCTGCAACTTAGTGAGCTCGAAACAATTTAGCTAGTTCCTTCCTCAAAATAAAAATTTAAAAATGGCTGGGGATGTGGCTCAGTGTTTAAGTGAAATCAGCCCATGTGTTCAATCCCTGGTACCAATAAATAAATAAATAAACAAACAAACAAACAAATAAATAAATAATAAAAATAACTGAGAATGTAGCTCAATAGTAGAGCACTTGACTAGCATGCACAAAATCTTGGGTTCAATCCCCATTACAGCAAGAAAATAAATAAATAAAATAGTAAAACAAAAAAACAATGAAGCAGCTGAGCACAGTGGTGCACACCTTTAATCCCAGTGACTCAGGAGGCTGAGGCAGGAGGATTCAAGGTCAGTATTGGCAATGTAGGTCCCAAGCAACTTAGTGAGACCATATCTCAAAATAAAATTTTTAAAAAGGGCTGGGGATCTGGCTCAGTGATAAAGCATTTCTGGGTTCAATCCCTAGTACAAAAAAAAAAAAAAAAAAAATCAACGAGCAACTCTCTAAGGTACAAGATGAGTTTTGAAGAAGGGCAAGTAGACATCAGGGGAATGGAAATCAGAAATTTCTGAAAATCCTGGGAAAGATTTTTGAAAGAGTCAGGACTTCAGGAGACACAGAAATGATAAATAAAATGTTTAAATAGGGGCAACTCAAGCCAGAGGTTCCTGCTTCCCAAACTGTGGCTCTGTCTAGGATCCTTTCCCAAGTCAACCTCTACTGAGACCTTAAGAAGGACTGGCATTTTCCTTCTGATACCTGTAGGAAGAAATGAGTGGTTCTACTTTCTGCCCAAGCTCAGGACAGAACAGAACCCTCTTTCAGCACCTTATTCCTTAAGGTTGCCCTTAGGGAGATCCTTGTGGAGTAGAAGGATGACCAGATCAGCAATCTCTTTGCCCTGGTCATATAACCCACTTAAACTCTACACACAAAGCCTGGGAGGGATTGGGCTTTAGAACTCTGAAACTCTGAGAGCCAAAGGATGGCAAACTGATTGGAATCCCAGGAGCACTTTCCCTCAGAGGGGCTGCAGCAAGGGACTCCTCCCATTTCTGATCAGTGCTGACCTGTGTTGGCAGAACTACGGGCTGATTTGAAAGTTAAGTCAGGCTGACCCCATTCTGCTCAGACATCTCACTCTGTGCAAAGTTGGCCCCCTTCCTAAAAGAGCCCACTCACATAGAAGCTGACACCCCCACACAGCTGCGACCTGACCACAATGTCTTTAAACTATGCAGCAGACGTTAACCTATTTCCTGAGTGTGTATAGAAGGAGTCAATTTTGAGAACCTGGTGACACTTTATGAAGTGTACTTGCCCCTCCTGCCCCTCTAGCATATGTGAGATCCTGGATTCAATACCCCCAGTACTACCAAAAAAAAAAAAAAAAAGTTTTGAAAGCCTGCTCTCCACCTGCACTCTTCACCTTCAATCACAAAGCTAAACCCACCCTTAATGTGCGGCCATGACTCTGGCTTATAAAAATTAATGCTCAAGGGGAGTTGCTGTTTTTCTCTCTGTGCGAGGCACTTGTCAAGTTCCTGACAATAAATTTGCTTCGTCCTTGGTATGTCTCTGTGATCAGTCCTGTGGCAGTTTCCTTTCAACCTGTCCCATCCTCTGGAAGAAAACTTTCATCATGTAAGTATCTCCTGAGCTGGGACAACTCTGCAGAGGTCTGAGGCCTGGCCTACTCCAAAGTGCAGCATCAACAGAGTAGGGCTCTACCAAATGAGAGAGTATGGCGGGGGCAAGTGAGGTGGACTTTGAGATGCTTTTGGGGGTCTCTAAATTCAGATCAAACAAGCCTGGGTGACCAAAAGCAAAGTGATGATGAGGGGAAAGCCTATTCACTACCACATTCCAATCTTAGTTCCATTCTGTCCTCACCTTATCCACTTCTCAAACATTTTTTTTTTTTCTTTCTTTTCTTTTGGTACTGGGATTGGAACCCTGGGATGCTCAACCCTAAGTCACACCTTCAGCCCTTTTTAATTTTAGAGACAGAATCTTGCTAAGTTGCTGAGGGTGGCTTTGAACTTGCGATCCTCCTGCCTTAGCCTCCTGAGCTGCTGGGATTACAGGTGTGTGTCACCACACCTGGCTTACTTGTCAATTATTTGAGACCCTGTCTCAAAATAAAAAAATAAAAAGATATGGGGATGTAGCTCAGCGGTTAGGTGCTCCTGGATTCAATCGCCCATACCCACCCTCCACATAATACAAGTTATGGTAGACCCATTCACTAAAGTACACGACTCCAAAGCCATGCAAGATATTCTAAAGCAGTCTTCCCTCTGACATCTCAATCTCTAAAAACCCCTGCTTTTAGGCAACTACCAGGATCTTTTTTTTTTTTTTTTTTTGTAGTACTGGGAGTATTAAATCCAGGATCTCGCATATGCTAGGCAAGCACTCTACCACTGAGTTATATCCCCAGCTCTTCTTATTTTTTAATAAAATTTAAATTAAAAATTTAATTAAGTGCATTTTTTTTTTTTTTTTTTGCTAAATCACTCAGGCTGGTCTTGAACTAGCAGTCCTCCTGCCTCAGCCTCCAATTTACCATTTACCTTTATAAATCTTAATTTCCCCAGCAATAAAAATGAGCAGCAAAATCAGGTAATTTTCCAGTTCCCTTCCAACTTTGATGTATGAGGTTTTAGTTTTTTGAGATTCCACAGCCTCTCATTCTGAGAGCACAGAGCTGGCCAGCCTTGTTAGGAGGCAGCTTGTCTGTGGTTTGGCACCACTGCCCAGCAGGCATTTATTAAATCAGTGGGATGTGGTCCCTGTTGGCCTGGAAGAGAACATTAAGCTCCAAAAACTTCCTGCAGCAGGCCTCCTTTGGAGACTGCTGCTCAGAAGGGTGAGGAATAAAACCATTTAGGTCCTTGGCTGTCCTCCAAGATTCTGTTCACTAATACTTTTGCCCTGTCTGCAGGAACCAGTGACTGGAAACATCTGGAAGCCTGCTTAAGACCTAAGGGACTTCTCTTTCCTTCCTTTGGGGTGACTGTTCTTGACTCTGGTAATCCAGGTTGACCTTTGCCAATGCCCCTTCCCTTCTAGTCTTCTTCACTACATTGGACAACAATGCTGTAATAAAATCCACATGAACCCAGCTGCTAACAGCTTCTGGAAGAGCTATAAGATCTAACACCTGCCCCTACATTCTTTGAGCCCTAGTAGCAAGGGAAAAGAAGGCTGAGACCCAACTCTTGCACCTCTGGGTCTTACACTGGAGTTATGTGGAAAGGGAGTAGTTGGGGGTGGGAATGATAAAGTTTGCTGGAGGTGGGAAAGGCAGCTGCAGGAGAGGGATGCACAGGTGTAATGATATGGCTGCTGGGAAGCCAAGCAGAACTCGAGACTGGGATTGCCTCATTCTTGGTGACCCTACGTCATGTTGACAAGGCTCATTACCTGGCAAGGCAAGAGTGGATTGGGAGGTCGGAGTGTGTCATGGGCCTGTATTCCAGGGTTGCCTGTCCCTCTCTGTTGTGGGGAGCCAAAGTTCCTTGGGTATCTAATTATATTTACTGAGTACATATAAGATATGTGTGCAGTGATGTCAGCATGTGTGTGTATGGTTGTGGTGGTGGAGACACACCAGTGAACAGAACAAACTAAATTTCTGTGCTCCGAGTCTTACTTGCTTAGAAATCCTGACTACAGCACAGACCCAGGAACACTGGCAGGGGTGGGATGCCTAGTTAGAGGTAGAAGAGCCACCCTAGCAGTGCTGGGTTTCTCCCATTCTGATTCCCTGGCCCTTAGCTTTTCTAGGGTAGAGTGTATGGTCATGGGATTTCTTCTGGTTAAGGTCAGAGCTCTGATTCACTTTAGCTTTCTTCTCCTCACCAATGCCAAGAGTCCAAGAAATAAACACATAGGTTAGAAGGACAGATAAGCTACTTGAGGTTTATTTATAAAGTAAAAGAATGCACTTACTGTTGTGTTTTTTTTTTTTTTTAACTACTTTGTCTTTTCACTCAGCTAATTTTCTTACTTGTTCTCATCTGACAATCCTAAACTGACTTCAGTAACCTTTCTGCTCTTGTCTGTAACAAGCCAAAGACCCGCATATCTTTCCCTGGACCAAAGGGCAGGGTTAATTTCCAACAGCCCTCAAGAATCCTTTGGAAGCAAATGACTGCTCTGGTCAGCTTAGGCCACTGTGGAGCAAAGAAAATGGTGTCCTTCTTGGAGTGCTGCCTTCATCTCCTTGAACTCAGCCAACTGGCAGGCTTCATCCAGCCCCAGCCAGCGGTAGGCTTGGTGTTCATTGGAGAGGCGGATCTCCACATCGTAGTCCTTCACTTCTGCCAGCCAGTAAATAACTGTTTTAGGCTTCTGCCACGCAACATAATTGAGCTCCTTTCTGAACCCCTCAACGATGGTCAGCTGGTGAGCTTCTATTCCTGCTTCCTCCCGAGTCTCCCTTAGGGCTGTCTCCAAGTCATTCTCTCCTGGGTCCACATGGCCTGGTTAAGAGAAAAGGAGGAGGGAATTTTCAGTAGTACCTAAAGATAGATTTTTCCAGGCTTGATGTCTTGAAGATAGGGTATTAGGTGATTTTTCTAGGAGTTTCTGGGCTAAAAGAAGTCTAAAGATTGGAAATATCTTGGGCTGGTGTTGTAGCCTAGCGGTAGAGTGCTTGCCTAGCATGCATGAGGCACTGGGTTCGATTCTCAGAACCATATATAAATAACTAAAATAAAGGTCCATTGACAACTAAAAAATATTTTAAAAAAATGATTGGTAATATCCTGATGTGCCTGGGAAGGAGTACAAGGTAGGTAGTGCCTGGCTCTTGAGATCTAAGGAATTCTTCCTTCCCACTCCATTTTCTCTGAAGAGAGCAAAACAAACTATGTTTGGCAAATCAGGCTTAGAATACTGCTTCTGGATGGTAAGCAAGATAGTTCTTCTCAGTTTTCTATCTCCTGTGCTCTTAGAGACTTTTCCCTTAGAGACCTTTAAGCAATTTCTGAAGAGCAGTCCCTTTTTGGCAGGGTGATACTTCACCTACAATCCAATGAGGACATAACACTATCTATAGTTGGACCCTTAAGTTCCAGGGCCAACAGACCGACTCAAAACCCTGAAATGCTACACCAACAGCTGTTTCCAAGTAGCCATAAAGCTTTTTTCCAAATTGTTTTCATCTTTCTTACTGAACAAGGCCAGATTTCGGTTTCATAGGGAAAGTCCTGATGGAAACTTAGACTAAGCACAAGTTGAGAGCCAGTTCTAAGAAAATTTGTTGGCAAGACTGAAATTCAAGAAGACAGCTGCCAAGAAACTGTTGTAGGAGAATTTGAGGCTCTGCAGACCAGAGTGGCCCTCAGCTTTATGCCTAGGCTTTTCCCACAAATTCTCAGCTTGCCCTGAGGGGCCCAGAAATATCAGGGAGTATTCTGGTAACCTGTCTACTCATGGTTGTGGCAAGTTGCCGAGGAGCCTCCTGGAGCTCAGGGGAAGCAGAAACTCTTTAGTTGTTACCCTCTTGGTTTGGAGTTATACCCTAGTACTTCCCTTTCCCAGGGGTCCACATACAATGCTCACAGTCAGTTGCTGCTGCACAGAAAATCAGGAACTTGGCACTTGAAGAACCCTTTTTAGCTTATGGCTGTGGGACATTTTCTCTGCATAGCACCTCCTATAGTGTACATAAAGACAGATAGCTAATACACTGAGGGAGTAAAATGGAAGGATGCTGATTAGTGACACTTATTTAGGATTCCCTGTCTCCCCTCAAGTGTGTGCGAGTTTCTGAGCACATTCCTTCCAGAATTCAATGATATTTAATGATAACAGGGTAACTTCTCCCCAAGTCCAGGCAGGAAATGACTAGGAGAGCTGCTGACGTCCTTTAATGAGGGGATCATGCAGTGTGACTAGGTGATCAGAAGATAAGTGTGAATATTCCTATTCATAGTATTTATGACACTTATTTTTTCCACCTTGTTTCTTCCCGGTACAACACAAATGTGCAAAATTTTATTTTCTGTTATCATTTCCTTCCAACCCTAGATCCTTGTCCACCCCTCCCCATCTCACTCCCTGTTATCTTGTCTGGGAGCCATTCACTCAGGGCTTCTCATCCCCATAGGGGCCCAAACAAATCTGTTCCTGCCCACTTGGACCATTCCAATGGCTTTTTTCCCCTCTTTCTCCCTACACAGAATGGCTTATTTTTCGGGATCATCTGAGGAAATCTCTCTTACTCTTAGAAGTGAGATCAGGAATGCTAGTGGATGAAATACAGCCAGCTTACAAACAGATCTTGGCCTGGCTGAAGACCCCAGACCACTAGTCTTCACTGTTCAGCCTGCTAGAGAACTGACCACTCTACCCTGGGTGCTGAATGATGGACCCAGGGCATAGGGGGTTGATCAAATTGCAATCCCAAGGTCTCCGATCTTCAAAACCTCCTGGTTTAAGAAGGGCCCTCTGTTTCCCTTACTCTTCCACTTCTGTCAGAGACCGCAGAAGAATGCATGATCAGGGAACCCACCTTCTCTGTGCTTCTAACTCAAAACATAGCTAGGTTAAAAAACACTCCGGATGTTTAGTTCAAAAGAAAAACCTAGTGAATGGGACACTGAACAAGTAGTCAAAGGAACCTGATCAAATGAAATCCAATACAGGGCTAAAAGAAAACTCGGGATTTTCTAGTCAACCCCTTCCTTCTTTGACAGATGAAAAATTCAAAAGCCTAGAGAGGTGGGCACATAGCCCAGTCATGACTCAACTCCCAACACCCATAATTCCCAGTCCGATGATGGTTTTCTCCTACACCATCATTCACCACAGAAGCTGGAGATCTGGTGAATGATACAAAAACACCAGATGCTGCTTCTGCCCTGGAATGCAATCACAGAATTCTATTTTCAGCTTTGCTTTGGCCTGCAGACCTTGTACATAGAAAGGATCAAGGCCTTCTGCCTATCCCACCAGTTCCTGCTGTACAGTCACTGGGAAACAAGAGCAACACTTGGCATTTCCCTAAAAGCCAGCCCCTCTGGCTTCACACCTTTGGGAGGAGTCCAGTGATGAATGCCATTTGATGCCTGCAGCAGTAGAAATTCAATTGAATCGTTGTCCACCTTGGGAATAAGGCGTCTTCGGAAGATGATCAAGCCACATGCTCTCAGGGCCATGGTCTATCTAAGAACTTAATGAAGAAAATATAGGACATTTGGAAGTTATACAAAACAGGAAGATCCAAACTTGAAGGTGGCACCGTGGTGCTGGAGAGTAACACACTAACAAGTGATCTTATAACCTAGAGAAGGCAGCATGCCAAGAGCCAATGATGGAAATTCAGAAATTAGGGACAGACCTTTGTGTGTTAACTGCAGGATCCGGCAACTATCCTAAATCAATGTAGCCTCTACTTCTAGTCTTCTAGGTCTCCCTATAAAATACAAGGCTTGTGTGTATTCGTGAGTCTAAAGATTCTTAGTAAACCCACTGAAACAAGAGAGAGAATGGGAATGTGAAAGATGCAAGTATCATCAAACCCACAATCCCATTTCCTTCACATATATTCTGAGCCCCTGCAACACAGGGACCCCAAAAGTGTAGTCTGATGATTCAGAGGGGTCACCTAAAACAGGTAGCTTGGTGTACGAAAAAAACTTCTTGTTATTTTTTCTTTCTTTCTTTTTTTTTTTTTTTTTTGTGGTGCTGGGGATTAGAACCCAAGGCCTTGTGCATGTAAGGCAAGCATTCTACCAACTGAGCTATATCCCCAGCCGCTGAGTTCAATCCCCAGTACCAAAAAAAAAAAAAGTAAAAAAATAACAAAAAAGAAAGAAAGGGAGAAAAGTAAAAAGATCTGTACAAGTGAATAGAAAATTCATGATCTGAGAGGACACATAATCAAAGTAACAAAAAATAATGAAGATCTTTTTTTGTTGTTGTTGGAGGGTCGGTATCGGGGATTGAACTCAGGGGCATTTGATCACTGAGCCACACCCCAGCCCTAGTTTGTATTTTATTTAGAGACAGAGTCTCACTAAGTTGCTTAGCACCTCACTTATTGCTAAGGTTGGCTTTGAACTCCCGTTCATCCTGCCTCCGCCTCCTGAGCCACTGGGATTACAGGCGTGCGCCACCAGGCCCAGCTGAAGATCTTTTATATAAGACCCTGCTAAAAAAAAATTTATGTTACTCATTCACTTAACCTATACTGAGCACCAACTATGTACAGTCATCCCCTGGTATTGAAGGGAGGTTGGTTCCAGGACCCGTAGGAATACCAAACTCCACAAATGTTCAAGTTCCTTATATAAAATGGCCTGGTATTTGCATATAACCTATGAATATCCTCTGCATATTTTATTTTTAAAATGTATTTAGTTAATTAATTTTTACTTTATGGTGTTAGGGATTAAATCCAGAGCCTCCAGCATGCTAGGCAAGTGCATTCAGGTCCCTTCGAATACTTCAGATCATCTCTAGATTACTTATAATACCAAATACAGTATAAATGCTAGGTAAATTATTGTTATATTTTATTGTTTAGTTAATAATGACAAGAAAGGGCTGGGGTTGTGGCTCAGTGGTAGAGTGTTTGCCTAGCATGTGTGAGGCACTGGGTTTGATTCTCAGTACCACATATAAGTAAATAAATAAAGGCCAATCAACAACTAAAAAAAATTTAATGAAAAAGAGTCCGTGTTCAAGAGACACAATTTTGAAAAAAATATTTTTGATCTGTGGTTGTTTGAATCTGTGGATATGGAACCCCTGGATACTGAGACTCAACTACACTAGGCACCTATAAACTGCCTTTGTCATTAGATAATTAATCATCACATGGGAGAGGCAGAATTTAATCAAATAAGCTAATTCTAAAAAACCTGCCAATAATGTACGTACTACAAAGGAATAATGAATAATGGGTAACCTGACCTTGTATGAAAGATCATGGAAGGCTCCCTGAAAGGGATGTTTGAGGAGCAAAGGATGAATCAAAGATAAATCAACAGAGGGAAGGAGGGGAGAGAGTGTGTTCCAGGGGGAGGGAACAGCAAGAATAATCTCAAGGTGGGATGGCAGAACTGAAAGAAAGCTACATGTCTCAAATGCAGTGAAGGTCTGGGAGAGTGGCCTAAGATGGATAAGGCTCATTTCATGTCAACAGGGTGGGAGAAGGAGCTGGTGCTCAGGGAGGTCTTATGGAGTAGGAGTGGCTATTCTTGGCCCTCTTTTTGGTGCTCAATTAAGAGGCTGTCAAAGGCATACTAAAAATCAGATCCAAACTGAAACCTGTTCTAGGGCAATCCTTAGGATTGCTAATAGATGGTAATGTTATCTTAGGAAAGATCAGTTTCTTACCAAAGAACCATAATACACCTTTCCAAACCTTTCTCCTCTTAGTGCCAGGAATTTAACCCAGGTCTTTTGGCACACTAGGCAAGTGTTCTACCACTTAGCTAAATCTCTGCCCCTCCCCAAAGGGGTTTTTAAGGATTGAAAAAAAAGTCAAAGGGGATTTTGAAATCGTCTATGTTTTCATATGCTTTTTTTTTTTTTTGGTACCAGTTGATTAAACCCAGGGCCCTTTATTGTGGAACCACATCCACAGCCCTTATTATACTCAAGGGTACTCGACCACTGAACCACATCCCTAGTCCTATTTTGTACTTTATTTAGAGACAGGGTCTCACTGAGGTGCTTAGCACCTAACTTTTGCTGAGGCTGGTTTTGAACTTGTGATCCTTCTGTTTCAGCCTCCAGAGCTGCTGGGATTACAGGCATGCACCACTACACCCAGCTGCTTACTATATTTTATTTTGAGACAAGGTCTTGCTAAGTTGCTTAGGGCCTTGCTAAATTGCTGAGGTTGGCCTTAAACTTGTGATTCTCCTGTCTCAGCCTCCCAAGTCCCTGGGATTACAGGCATACACCATCCCCCCTAGCTATTATCACATGCTTTTGAAGGAAGAATAAATTGGCATATATCTTTAGTAGGGTGGTTTTAGAATAACAATCAAAATATAAATACAGGGCTAAGATTGTGGGTCAGTGGTAGAGTGCTTGCCTAACACATGTGAGGCACTTGGTTCACTTCTCAGTACCACATAAAAAAATAAAGTTATTGGGTCCATCTACAACTAAAAATATTATATATACACACATATACATACATTTATATATATAAAATACACATTTCCTTAGACCTAGCAATGCCATTTTTAGGTGCTCTCACAGAAATACATATTTAAGATGTATAGATAAGGAAGGGTACATACTCCCAACTTATCTGCAGTATCAAAAAGAAAGGCAGAAACAAATATACACCAATATGGGGATCATGAAATAAAGTATATTTATAAGATAGAATATTGTGAAGGCATTTCTTAAAATGTGTTAGAACCAAATGTGCTGCTTATGAGAAAAGAAATTCAGACATATTAAGTAAAAATAGTATGGTTCAGAATAGTATGAATAATGAAATTTTTTGAGTTAAAAATTCATATGTTAAGTGGCAATAGGCTTTTGTTAAACATTGTGTTCTATTTTTCTGGACTCCTTATTTATGTTGAGAACTTTCCCACTCCAAAAGCTGGAAGTTACTGTTACTTCAGAACAGATGAAAAAAGATTTCAAATTACTGGTTCATAGTTGAGGGTGAAACAGCTGACTGATCCAATGCCTCTCCTATAGATACTCAGAGTATTAGAAAGTGAGATATGTAACATACCTAACTGTTGCCTTAGGTACAATCCCACAAAATGAATGTTGGAGCCCATAGATAAGTTTAGGGATCCAAGACTAGAGGGTGCAGTACCTTGCCTGGGACAGAAAGCCCCATAATACTTCTCCATACCACTACCACCTTCAGTACAATATGATAACATAACATAAATATGCCTGCATGGGAGACAAAATAAATAGGCCTTGAGTGGCCATGTGGAAGCAGGCCAATATTTTCCTATGTGCTAAGTAGTGGAGGTAGAGCAACAAGGTACAGCCTAGCAAGATGCATCTTGGTGGATACCAGCATATAGGGGTGATCACAACTAAGAAGCAGACTGGCCAAATGTTCATCTAAATGGGACCCAAAGACCTTGGATCAGATGTTCACTCTTCACCTATGCTTTGGACACACAGAGAATACAATCCTTCTAAAGGGAGAATTCCTCACTGCCCTTTTCTATTACTTGGCTCAAGTCAGATGTTTGCTGGAATTTCTCCATCCCCACACAGGCCATACATACAAACTCTTACTTACCCCTTCTGAAGCAGCTCAAATGTTACTTTCACCTGTGAAGCCTTCTGGTTTCTAATTACTCGACAAACTTTTACTATAGAGTTCAGTCAGAGAAGCAGAGCTATGAGTAACGGAAAATTAAGAATTTATTATAAGAATTATTCCTTGTAACAATTTTGGAAACTGGTAGAGAAATCCATGCAACTACTTAACTTGCATCTGTTGTGGGCCTGAAGTCTCTATAGGTGATACCAACAGTTGGGAAGAAAGATGATGTGAAGTAGAGGAGAAAGGACAAACTGGAATTTGTGAAAACAAATTTTGATCCATGAGGACAACTGGAATTCATCAGGACAAACTGAAACTTGATACTGTCTCTAAGTTCAGTGACACAGATGACCTGCAGAAGTTGGACCCCCTTGCCTCAAAGCTGAATGCACATGTGACCCAGGATTCAGAGGAGATGAAGGGGGACATTCCATAGGTGCTGAGAAAGCTGCAGGCTTGGATATGTCTTTTGCCAGCAAGGTGAACCAGCAGATCAGTGTTAAAGTGTATGCACAGCCCCTGTGCCTGATACCCAGATCTGTCCTTTAGTGTACTGATTGCCACTTCACTTCAGCTTTCCAAATCTTCATAGATTTGGGACCTTTCCCTATTCTACATCTTTAATATCCCTCTCTCATGGTATTCTAAATGTAACCCCCACCTCCAGTACTAAGGATCAAATCCAAGGGTGTTCTACCACTGAGCTACATCCCTAGTCCTTTTTATTTTTATTTTAAAAAAATATTTATTTTTTAGTTGCAGGTGGACACAATATCTTTATTTTTTATTTTTATGTGGTGCTGAGGATTGAACCCGGGACCCCGCACGTGCCAGGTGAGCACTCTACGGCTGAGCCACATCCCCAGCCCCTTTATTTATTTTTTTTAATTGAGACAGGGTCTTGGTAAGTTGTACAGGTTAGACTTCAAATTATGATCCTCCTTCCTCAGCCTCTCAGTTTTCCAAATCTTGCACAAAATTTTGTGTTCAATACTGACCTGGAACCAAACAGGAAAGGACTCCTGGGACATGTAGTTCCTACTTAGCTAAAGTGACACAGTACAAAGCATTCATAAGCATGCACACCTAGTATGGTAAATCTATGTTGGCAAATCTTCCTCTGGCAAGGAAGAGCCAGACTGAGCTCTGTTTCACTGGGACTCAGCATAGCAGATCTCAACAGATGTTCATTGACTCAACAGAACTTTCTCCCCACCTCCCACTCAAACAAATGTTTGAGTATGTTCTGGGGCCCTGGGAAATAGCCCAGTGTCTTCCAGAAGAGTACCATTTACATAAAAGTCAATGGTGCTATTGTTGGTGGTTTTCTGTTTTTCTGGAGACCAGAGAACTGAAACTGTCCAGGGGTTGGAAAGGAGCCAGCTTTCACACACAGACTCCAAGCCCATTCAAACCTCAGGGGGTTAAAGAACATAGCATCCAATATGCAAATATGCCTGCAGCCAGGATTGCAGAGGTGAGAACTCCAGGCTGACAGCAGGCAATTCACACTTCAGAAAAGTGGCAGAACGCCTGAGGTGGTTAGAAAAAATCTGAAGAAAAAAAAAAAAATCCCTCAATGTCATCAGAAGGTTCCAGAAGCTAAGGAAAAGTGCTCTTGGCTTGATCTATACATGCAATTCACTCACAGCCTAGGAGGTTTGAAACCTAGGTGCCAAAAAAGAATTTACAAATAAATGGCTAAGCTGATGTGTTCCAATGTTTCCATCAAATTAATCAGAGTGCTCTTGTAAGCATAGTTCAACTCCAAAAGCCCTTAGAAGTATACCTTTATTTATTCATTTAGCGGTGCTGGGGATCAAACTCTGGGCCTTGTGCACACTAGGCAAGCACTCTACCACTGAGCTACACTCTAGCCCCACTAATATGACCTTAGATAGAAAGAGCTCCCCAAATCCTCCTCCTGATTTGCTTTTCATAGTCTTAAAAGCCCTTGTATAGTGTTTCATGCTACCACGTTGTCAAGTAAGCATCAATACTGTGTCAGCTACACTATACAAGGTGTTTGTTTGTATCAGGGATTGAACTCAGGGGCACTTAACTACTGAGCCACATCCCCAACCCTATTTTGTATTTTATTTGGAGACAGGGTCTTACTGGGTCGCTTAGCACCTTGCTTTTGCTGAAGCTGGCTTTGAACTCCCTATCCCCCTGTCTCAGCATCCTGAGCTGCTGGGATCATAAAGGCGTGTGCCACTGTGCCTACTGTACAAGGTTTTTGACAATTATCATTTCTAATGCCCAAGACAACCCTTCAAGACAAGCATTATTATCTCTTTAAGAGGAAACTGAGATATTAAGAAAGGTTAAATACTTGCCCAAGGAAATAGCTGCCCTGTAAATAAATTTTAATCCAAATAAATCTAACTCCAGTCTGTATTTTTCTCCCATCCCCTTTAAACTACTCTGCTTGCCAAGAAAGAATAGGGCTTAGGGCACAAAAAGCCCTGACAGAGGACATACAAATGATTATAAAAATCACTTCCAGTTTTGAAAATTTCTGAACTTTAATCTCTATTCATCTGGAGGTTGCTTAAGATGCCTAGTTGTAATCTTTTCCATGAAACAGGCTGAAGGTGGGTGAAGCAGTAAACAAAGGTCCTGGTGTCCCAAAAGACTCTGGAGGGGAAAGTGTAGCTTAAGAGCCCTAAAAGGGATTCCACTTCTTGGGTCCCCTTCTTCCTCCGGGAGAAGTCTTTTCTGCTGTCCTTTAATAAACTTCTAATTTCTATTCTGACCTTGCCTGGCGTGCTTCTCTGGTGTTATACTTCAACACTGGGGAAAGCAAGGACTCGTCAACATTGGGGAAAGCAAGGACTTGTCACCGGTAAACAACGGAAACCGTATGAGAGGGTCTCACACCTAAGTTGTGGAGGTTGGCCTGAAACTTGTGATCCTTCTGCCTTAGCCTTCAGAACAGCTGGGATTACGGCACACGTCACTGCACTCAGTTGGAAAATACAAATTGAACTCAGAAGAAAATATCACTGTGTACTCATTAGATTGACAGAAATTAAAAATCTGACGATTACATGTTAATGAGAATGTGGAGTGATGGGAATTTTCATGCACAATTATGGGAGTGTAAATCTGAAAAATCATTTTGCATTACCTAGTAAAGACACATTATCTTTTGATTTAGAAGTTTCACTCTTGAATATCTACCCTAAATAAACATGTCTATGTATTTACTTGAAACACAATGTTCATAACAGTATAATTCATAATAGTCTCAAACTTAAAACAACCCAATGTATGTTCATTATCTATTCATACAATAAAAATGAAGTATAACCTCAGAGAAAGTAGGTGAATCTTAAAAAAAAAAAAAGAGCCCTAAAAATGCCCATCAGGGAAGGGTTTCTATGCCTCTATTGCTCTTTTCTGGGAAGTAGGAACCTAAAACCACATGTTCAAAGTCATACCCAATAGCTTTGGTATTCAAAAGCACCAAGTACTGGGAACACCCTTCATGTTAGCCTCGGACAAGCATATAAACATCTAACTTAGGGCCCTGATATCCGAAAAATTAGTCTAGGCCACTCACCTTGGGGAGGAAGGCCAACTGCCAGCTTACAAGCAACCCATGAGATTATTCAGCTTTTCCTCATTTTCCACATAACTGCTTTCTCTGTAGTTCACCAGTTTCCTTCTTCTCTTTTTGAATGGACAATAATAATATCCCATCCATCAATAAAGTTCTCTCTTAAAAAGAAAAATCCCTAACTACATGAATAAATTTAAACAAAGAAAATATTCCTTCAACTGTACCTTTTTCTGGACATCTACCACTTCCTTCTTCTCAGAGAATAAACTGCTGAGTCATTTTGCAATCTTTGCTATCTGGCTGAGGGAGGAAACAGGAGATTTCACCTGTAATAGCATATTGGCTTCTAGGACGAGGCCAAAGTCAGACAAGGTTGGGACAAAAATTTTTCTAGAGATTTGTTAAGTGGCCTATTAGTGCCATCTGCTGTTCAATTCTAGAAAGCAAATTTGGGGAGTTACAGTATTAGAGCCTGAAGGGATTCCTTCACTCATCTAATGTTTGTTGAACATGTCATATGCCACAGGCAGTGTGACAGGACTGAGGAGTAGATATGAAGCTGAATACTACAAAACCCAGATTTGCTAGAGGTTTAAGCCTAAAGTAGAAGGCATTCAGACAGACATGTCAGTGTGTTTTGTGCATCATAAGGTATAAGATGAAAAGATAGCAAAGAAGGATCTTTAGGTCCAAGAAGTATACCCCATAAGGATTTCAAGATGGCCAATTTACCAGCAGAATAAAGGTGGAGGCAAGGGGCACTCCAGGTAAAGGAAGGAGTGTGTGTAAAGACCCTTAAACACAGATATTCCATTGATAGCTTAGCTTATATTCTGTAGGCAATGAGGTCTTTCAATGGTTTTAGGCAGGGCTGTAATTTGGTCAGATTGACACTTTATAAAGATATTCTCACAGCAAGCAAAGTGAAAAACATTAGAAAGAAAGCCTGGAGGCAAAGAGACCAGCCAATTATGAACCTACTTCAACAGTCCAGTTAAGGTAGAGGCTGTGAGAAGGAAAAAAAAGAGGATAAACTGAAGAGATATTTCAAGTAAAATTGAAAAAAAATGTTTCATTGTCTAAGGGAAAGAGATTTAAATATAAATCCAAAGGAAAGGGAAAGAGGTGTTTGGTTTAGGTGACTATCACTCTTAATCCTGTATTGTAAAACATCAAGCTAAAAACTTCTGTTTTAATGGCACACTCAGCCTTGGATCACTGAGAAATGGATTTTCACATTTTCTGTAAAACAGCTGTTATACACTATGTTACTCTTTTTGGGTAAGAACCAACAAGAAAAAAATTTCTTTAATATAGATACAAAGAAAAGATTTATTTTAAAGAATGGATTTGTGCTGGGTGCAGTGGCACATGCCTCTAATCCCAGTGGCTAGGGAGGTTGTGATAAGAGGCTGTGATACGAGGATCGCAAGTTCAAAGCTAGCCTCAGCACTGGTGAGGCACTAAGCAGCTAAGCAATCAGTGAGACCCTGTCTATAAATAAAATATAAAATAGGGCTGGGGATGTGGCTCAATGGTCGAGTGCCCCCAAGTTCAACCCCCCAGTAGCTCCCCCGCCAAAAAAAGAATGGATTTGTTTACTTATTAGTAAGAATTACCTTATTTGCTTAACTGCTTAATTTTGAACTAAACTGAGTACTCAATTACTAAATATCCCCCCATCCCTTTGGTACTGGGAATTAAACCCAGGGGAATCTCTACCACTGAGCTGCATCCCCAGTTTTTAATTTTATTGATTTATTTTTGAGACAGGGTCTTGCTAGGTTGCAGAGAGGGGCCTCAAACTTAACTATTCTACTGTCTCAGTCTCCCTAGTGGCTGGGATTACAGAGGTGCACTTGGGCTCCCATCTTTTTTTGTAATTATTGGAAGGATAACTTCTGGCCAGGCATTGTGCCAAATGCTTTACCTTCTTTATTTCACTTAATCTTTGCCACAACCCACTGAGGCTTTATTGCCATTTTCAATGAAATCCAAATATTTTGATAAAATAGAAACTATAGCTCAGAGATACCTGGGTAGTCATTCAAAAGCAGGTATGCCCGACTCCCAACATCATTGCACTTTCCTTGTGTTTTCTTTTTAGTGTGGTACTGGGGATCCAACCCAGGACTGAGTGCATATTAGGCAGGTAACTCTCACTGAGCTATATTCCCGGTCCGTTTTATTTTGAGACACTGTCTCACTAAAATTGCTGAGGCTGGCTTAGAACTTGTGATCCTTCTGCTTTAGCCTGTCTAGTATCTGGGATTATAGGTGTGTGTCACCGGGCCGGCCCAACATTATAGCACTTAACCTCTGCTTCCATTTTAGTGTTTTTAAATTGATATTTGAAGGGCTGGAGATATAGTTCAGTTGATGGAGTGCTTGCCTTGCATGAACAAGGCCCTGGGTTTAATCCCCAGCACCTCGAAAAAGAAAAAAAAATTGATATTTGGATTTCATTCAGTTTATTTTAAGCTGTTCACGACTCCCCCCACCACCACCACCACCGCGGTTATTTTTGTTTTCTTCAGGTAGTGGAACTCTCTTATTTTTTGTTTGTTTTGTTGTTTTGGGAGTACTGTAATTGAACCTGGGGCTTCCCCCATGCTAGGCAAACACTCTACTACTGAGGTACACCCCCAGTGCCACCCCACCCCCAATTTTTCTTTTTTCATTTTCAGACAGGGTCTCCTAAATTGCCCCTGAGCTTACATCCTCCTACCTCAGCCTCCAGAATGGCTGGATTACACTTGTGCACCACTACTATGGCTTGACTGACTTTCTCCACTTCTGCTTACATGACCACAATATTTTTCATTCATAAAACGAAGTAATTACAATATAAAATCTCATTTGAAAGCAGGCGAGGTTTAACGGATGACAACAAAGTGAAATTGAGTCCCTGGTACTGGAAGGAAAACCCGGACCTCGCCTGTCTTTGAGATTCTGATCATGTACCCCTTTTTTGCATGCTGGCAAAATAGGCTCACAGGCCACTAGCCCTCCCTTCCACCGGTGCAAACAGGTAAACTGAGGCCCTGCGAGCGGTTGAGGTCTGGCCTCCCTACGCCCGCCGGCTCGAAGAAGGCCGTGTCCACTTTTGACCCGGCAGCGACATGAGGTTACTCAGCGGCTGATACCCATCGCTCCAAGACCCAGTTACACTATGGAGAATTAAACCCCCAGGGTTACTCACCCGAAGCAAAAGAGAGGCAGGAAGTGGGCCTTCAACAGAGGCCGGAAGTACACTGGCCAATCAAGACAGCTCCATCATAATTCGGTAGCTCTACAGTATTGGGTAAAAGGAGCTGTGGTCCACCTTTAAGGCGGGTCTCACTGAAATGTCGCGAGATCTATGTGCAGGCGGGCTGATTGGTCAAAGGACGGAAATTGGGCGTTACGCCCGCTGTTTTCTTAGGTTTCCGATTGGTTTTCTAGAGGAGAAGGCAGTGAGCGACAACGGGTTCCCTGACTGCCCATTGGTGGACCGTGCGGGCCTGCGGGTAAGCGGGTGTCAGCGCGGGCGTTCGAACTGGCGTTTGGCGGCGTTGCCATGGGGATGCGGCCTGGCTGCCTCTGGAGGTTGGCGGGTGACCAGACGCTCAGGTCGCTAGCCTTGGAGTTCTCAGAAGACGGCATCTTTTTCTCCTGTCCTGAGATAGGGCTGACTGACCAGGCGTCAGGAAGCCCCCACGGTGAGAGAATTGGGGAATCGGGGCGGAGAGGCTTGTCGGGAGCCGTGGCGCCTGCCCTGTGGAGAGGGTGCGCCTGACGGCCGCTGAGCATTTATGAGGGAACTGGGAGTTGGTTCCTCCTGGTTCTTCTGAACGTTTACCCACTCTTCCTTTCATCCCCATATTTCTACTTTTTCTTTAGCAATGATCTTGAACACCACCTCTCTCATGACGTCTTTCTGAGTTGCACATTCCTCCTGCCTTTGAACCCATACCCAGGAGGGAACCCTTCTTTGGTTCGGTTTATTTGGCTTTAGGTTATTTGTGTACTTCGTTAATCCCAGTGTCCTCCTCTCATAAATTTTTTGAAATCTTTGAGGTAAGGCAAGCTTTTTCACATGTTTTACATGTAGTCTATTTTCAGGAAATGTTTGTTCCATTGAATTTAATTCATCACATATAGGTCGGATTCCCCTTTAAGTTTTTATTCTTCTATAGAGAGGCTTTGTGGTGGTCTACTTCAATGCACGTAGCAGTGCAGTTGGCACCTATCTTATCCATTCAAGAGGTGTCCATGATAGAATTGCATTACCAAGACTGTTTCGTTGTTAGCTCATAACCTAATTCATTCTCATTGCTGATTCAGTATTCAGTCTCCTTGCTCATTATTCTCATAGATCATTGGTGACTTTAATAAAAGGATTGAAAAAGCCAGGTTATAGTAGTTATGTTCTTACTACCCTCTTAGAATTCTAAGTTTGAAACACTACCCCGTAACTAAACTGCAGATCTGTAAGATGGAATCCAGTGGAAACTGGATTGGGGATTAAGAACTTGGTTTTGGTTCTGTCTTTATCTCATTCACTGTAGATGGCTTTGCAAGTCATTTACCCCTTCAGACCTTGCTTTTTTTAACTGGAAAAATCGAAGGGTTGGGCTGGGGTTGTGGCTTAGAGGGAAGCACTTGTGAAGCACTTGGTTCGATCCTCAGCACCACACAAAAATAATATAAAGGTATTATATAAAAAAAGAAAAATCTAAGGGCTGAATTAGATTAGAACTCATGTGACTCTATCAATTATCTCTCACACTCCTGGCCTTCCAAAGACCATCCTGATTTCTTTTAGCAGCTAAAAGTAGTCACTACCATTTATAGAGCATTTATCTTGTGAGAATTACAAGGGCTTTGTATAAATATTACATTTTTCTTAGTATAGCATATAAATATGCCACCCAGATAGCATTTCATTAAAAACTTTTATGTTGTTAATGAAAATTAATGATTTGTTAATGAAAATTAATGAAATTTATAATTTGTGAAGAGTAGACTTCAGGAAGTTTTGCTAAATGAGTGATAGAGCCATGTGCTGTGACATGTGCCTTTAGTCCCAGTTACTTGGGAGGCTGAGGTCAAAGGA